TGTTTCAGGGTCGGTGTATTTGTCATTCAGGTAATTGAGGACCCTCATCTTAATCTCTCCGGTCAGTTTGGCTTCGCCCTCATTTGATTTCAGAACCTCTGTCTTGAACAAATGGAGGACTGGCTTCAGATAGGACACACTCACGTATGTCTCCCCTGACAGGGCATCTGTGAAATCCTGGAGGGGCTTAAGTGCTGCCGTGATAGATTCAAAGACCTCAATGTCTTGCCAGGAGGGTGCAAGGTGCCGTGTTTTTTTTGTCTGCTGACAGGACTTGTGTGATGGCCTTTTCCTGCTCCAGGACTCTTTCCATCATCTGCAGTCGAGATCCCCACCTTGTCGTGGATTCCGTGATGAGCTTGTGGAGGGGCAGGCTCAGTTTATCCTGTTTACTTGTCAGGGCCTTCTGCTTCTTCCAACTATAGGAAAATGTGCTGACCACTTTCTTGCACACTCCTGTGGCCCGGGAAACCCGAGGTTCGTTTTGGACACTCCTCTCTGCATAATAAAATGGTGAAAAATAATTACGTATGAATCACAATTATTCAATAGATATAACATAGCATCTGCTGTAATTACAACAATTTACAGCATGGACACTGGACATGATTACAAATTTAATCCATCTATAGATTTACAAACAACTGTTGTGATTAAGAGAGCTATGTTGCTTTAGAAAAGGGGATCATTTATTGGGTAGGCTATTTATTATTGAATGAGAGTATCGATTCATATATTGAAACCATAGGCTAATGTATCAATTATAAATAAAAGCAATGTAATGTTTGGATATTGCACACATTTACAAATTACAAATATTCTAGATTTGAATAGCTGTGTATATCCGGCTTAACGTATAATAAGGATGAGGCAGTGTAGTCAGCTCTAACTTTAAACAGAGGAGATTAAGAATATAATATTTATTCAGCATTTAATGTTTTAAAGTGACTTTATTTTTCTACCTAGCTCTGCGTTTTGGACGTTGAAACTTACCAATAGCAATGTGTAGCCTGTGTCCGAAACACCCTATTCTTGTCCATTTGTTCAGCTCCAATGCTTTGTCGGAAGTCATACATACTTGACGCGACTATTTCAAGCCCCAGGATGAAAGTGCCTCCCTCAGCCCAGCTGCAATTATTTCTCCAGTGTGGTCGTCTGGGAAATAAGAGGTCTGAAGGCATTTGCTTTGCAGCTTCCAGTTGTCGTCAATGTAATGAATCGTGAGGCTAATGTATGGCTCTGTGGTCTGGCTTGACCATAAGTCGGCAGTGGTAGAGAAGAATGCAGCGTTACGAATTTCGTTGGCAACTCTGTCCCGACATTCTGTGTAGAGTTCTGACAGACATGTTTTGCTCAAGTATTTACGGCTCGGGATCTCGTATCTTGTGTCTAGAGTTCGAATCATCTTTCTGAAACAGTCTTTCTCCACAGTTTGTATTGGTTCCATGTCTTTTGCTATGTGATACGTAATTGCACTCGTTATGTCATTCCACTTCTTGCTCTTCTTGTCAGTTCCAAACGAAAGAAAAGGCCCCCTTTTTTCGAACCAATTCTTCGTCGTCCTGCAAATCAACCTCTAGCGTTATTTTCCTTGTCTTCAGTCATCCTCAATGCTTGATTTTCAGACACTTTTGCTAACGAAAGGAGTTTACTTCACTAAATGTTCGCTTACTCTGCAGTTGCGCATGCTTGTTTGTTGACTTTGATTGGCAGGCAGATCGCGCGTAATGTCCATGCTTCTAGTTTTTTTTCTTTGCTAAAAAAGGCTATGTTTCTAGTAAAATAAACCATTTGAACTAGCCCATTAGGCTGTATCACTCGACAGAAATGTTGAACCAAACAAAAACGCCTTCTTTCATACATTAATTTAGCATGATATGGCAAAATCTATATCATGGCACAACATCATACCGGTATACCGCCCACCCCTACTTTGACTGTGTTGTCATTGGCAACAACCTCTGTTCTTATTGTGTTACTATTGCACAGTACCTCACCTCCCTGTCACTTCAGGCCAGTGTTTTACTGACATGCCAATTTCACTGCCGCCAAATCAGTTTAGGTCTAATCATAACATTTCAAAGGGAGAATCCCCAGGGACAGGTAGCTATTTATAAGGCCTGCTCAGCTGTGTTTGTGGTTCCCCGTGTTGCCATACACAGACAGTCTCAAACCACCACAGCCCTTGAATAGGGAGGTTAAGGAGACTGGCACATCTCTCTCATTCCTCTTCACGACCTTGGCAGGTAGACCCTGAAGATTCTCTTGCCTATCTGCACTGCCTCTGTAGTCTGTACATCTATCTGAGGTGGAATAAGATCAATTACGCAAATGCTGGCTTGGAGGTTGTTCCAGTAATAGCCTCTACCAGCAGTCTCCTGGGAGGGATGGCTGATAAAAAAAATGTAAGCCCCTGTATGTAACTGAGATTTATGGGTCTTCATATTGCAGCTTTTTTGCTGAGACTTTATTTTTTTTGTGTGTTGGTGGCCTGATTTTGGTGGTATTTGTGTTGCGAATTACACTGTTCATGTTGAGATAGCTTTCAAGCCTGTTGTAAAGAGAGGAGAGATGAGACTGGGACTCATCTTTTATGGAGCCACCAATGGAAAAATGAAAAAGTAAATGTCATAGCACAGATTTTCAAAATAAAGTATTAGATTTTTGTGTGTACACGTACAGATATGTGCATCAACATAGTTTGAGAGGTAATAATACAGTGGGGGGGAAAAGTATTTAGTCAGCCACCAATTGTGCAAGTTCTCCCACTTAAAAAGATGAGAGAGGCCTGTAATTTTCATCATAGGTACACGTCAACTATGACAGACAAAATGAGGGAAAAAAATCCTGAAAATCACATTGTAGGATTTTTTATGAATTTATTTGCAAATTATGGTGGAAAATAAGTATTTGGTCAATAACAAAAGTTTATCAATACTTTGTTATATACCCTTTGTTGGCAATGACACAGGTCAAACGTTTTCTGTAAGTCTTCACAAGGTTTTCACACACTGTTGCTGGTATTTTGGCCCATTCCTCCATGCAGATCTCCTCTAGAGCAGTGATGTTTTGGGGCTGTCGCTGGGCAACACAGACTTTCAACTCCCTACAAATATTTTCTATGGGGTTGAGATCTGGAGACTGGCTAGGCCACTCCAGGACCTTGAAATGCTTCTTACGAAGCCACTCCTTCGTTGCCCGGGCGGTGTGTTTGGGATCATTGTCATGCTGAAAGACCCAGTCACGTTTCATCTTCAATGCCTTTGCTGATGGAAGGAGGTTTTCACTCAAAATCTCACGATACATGGCCCCATTCATTCTTTCCTTTACACGGATCAGTCGTCCTGGTCCCTTTGCAGAAAAACAGCCCCAAAGCATGATGTTTCCACCCCCATGCTTCACAGTAGGTATGGTGTTCTTTGGATGCAACTCGGCATTCTTTGTCCTCCAAACACGACGAGTTGAGTTTTTACCAAAAAGTTATATTTTGGTTTCATCTGACCATATGACATTCTCCCAATCCTCTTCTGGATCATCCAAATGCACTCTAGCAAACTTCAGATGGGCCTGGACATGTACTGGCATAAGCAGGGGGACACGTCTGGCACTGCAGGATTTGAGTCCCTGGCGGCGTAGTGTGTTACTGATGGTAGGCTTTGTTACTTTGGTCCCAGCTCTCTGCAGGTCATTCACTAGGTCCCCCCGTGTGGTTCTGGGATTTTTGCTCACCGTTCTTGTGATCATTTTGACCCCACGGGGTGAGATCTTGCGTGGAGCCCCAGATCGAGGGAGATTATCAGTGGTCTTGTATGTCTTCCATTTCCTAATAATTGCTCCCACAGTTGATTTCTTCAAACCAAGCTGCTTACCTATCGCAGATTCAGTCTTCCCAGCCTGGTGCAGGTCTACAATTTTGTTTCTGGTGTCCTTTGACAGCTCTTTGGTCTTGGCCATAGTGGAGTTTGGAGTGTGACTGTTTGAGGTTGTGGACAGGTGTCTTTTATACTGATAACAAGTTCAAACAGGTGCCATTAATACAGGTAACGAGTGGAGGACAGAGGAGCCTCTTAAAGAAGAAGTTACAGGTCTGTGAGAGCCAGAAATCTTGCTTGTTTGTAGGTGACCAAATACTTATTTTCCACCATAATTTGCAAATAAATTCATAAAAAATCCTACAATGTGATTTTCTGGATTTTTTTTCTCACAATTTGTCTGTCATAGTTGACGTGTACCTATGATGAAAATTACAGGCCTCTCTCATCTTTTTAAGTGGGAGAACTTGCACAATTGGTGGCTGACTAAATAGTTTTGTCCCCCACTGTATGTGAACATGTAGCCCTAGGTTGGGGCTAAGTATTAGCCTAGCCCTTTGTAAAGTACAGTAATAATAATAAATAATAATAATATGCCATTTAGCAGACGCTTTTATCCAAAGCGACTTACAGTCATGCGTGCATACATTTTTTTTGTGTATGGGTGGTCCCGGGGATCGAACCCACTACTTTGGCGTTACAAGCGCCGTGCTCTACCAGCTGAGCTACAGAGGACCACGAGTAACCTATATGTGAAAAACCTGTGAATAGTGCAGGATGGCACACACATCTGAACTGTCCAGCAAGCTTGTCAAATTGAGGATAAGTATGTAAGCTACTTTTGTAAAAGTGGTCTGATTTTATTATTATCGTTTTTGTTTTGTATAGTTATTTTATTCTGCAGGTCCTTGTGGGGTGGGTTTGTCATGGTTTCTCAATACCTAGTCACTGCATAGCTTATCTCAGCAGGACACTTAAATTGGTCAATTTCTGACACTTCCTTTCCCCTTGTTTCCAGGATACCTGTGAAAGCTCTCGCTCCCCCACCCCAATGTCGAGGTCGCAGTGACAGGGCTGGGCAGAGGCAGAGCCCGGTGCCCCGGCCCCTTTGCCCAGCTGAGGAGCAGCCCCTGACAGGGAGCACACCTTCTCCCTGTGCCTCCTGTCTTCTGGGGGGCACCTTGAGCCATGGAGCACCCACGGGAAAAAGAGGGTGAGCGGCCGGCGCGCAGCAGCAAGGCGGGTCAGGGGCGCAGCGGGCACTCGCGCCCCTCGGGATCAGGCTCCTCCGGAGTGCTCATGGTGGGGCCCAACTTCCGTGTGGGCAAGAAGATCGGCTGTGGTAACTTTGGAGAGCTGAAGCTAGGTAAGAAATTACCACCGTTTCAAGAATACGTTTGGTACTTTTTTTGGTGCTTGGAAATGGCGATAGACTCTATGTATGAAAATGTGTTTAACAATTCAAATAAAATCAAATAAAATTGTATTGGTCACATGCGCCGAATACAACAGGTGCAGACATTACAGTGAAATGCTTACTTACAGCCCTTAACCAACAGTGCATTTATTTTTAACAAAAAAAGTAAAAATAAAACAACAACAAAAAAGTGTTGAGAAAAAAAGAGCAGAAGTAAAATAAAATAACAGTAGGGAGGCTATATATACAGGGGGGTACCGGTGCAGAGTCAATGTGCGGGGGCACCGGCTAGTTGAGATAGTTGAAGTAATATGTACATGTGGGTAGAGTTAAAGTGACTATGCATAAATAATTAACAGAGTAGCAGCAGCGTAAAAAGGATGGGGCAGTGCAAATAGTCCGGGTAGCCATGATTAGCTGTTCAGGAGTCTTATGGCTTGGGGGTAGAAGCTGTTGAGAAGTCTTTTGGACCTAGACTTGGCACTCCGGTACCGCTTGCCGTGCTGTAGCAGGGAGAACAGTCTATGACTAGGGTGGCTGGAGTCTTTGACAATTTTGAGGGCCTTCCTCTGACACCGCCTGTTATAGAGGTCCTGGATGGCAGGAAGCTTGGCCCCAGTGATGTACTGGGCCGTACGCACAATTCCTCTTGGAAATGTAAAACCTTGTTCATTGATGAATTCCTAATGACAGAGTCAGTGCCCTCTTCTCACCCTCACTATCAAAATGTACATGTGGGTCAACTGTGTACACTTAGATAATCGAACTCATCAAATCTTGTCATAATATCTCAACACGATGATTAAAGTTGTATGCAATCACTGCATCATAATGAGTTCAGGCCCCAGCTACTCTGCAAAGGCTGTATACACCGGAATTGAGATACAGATTACATTGGCGGAAAATAAGACGTATTTCATTTTCATTATCGATAATTACGTCACATTGAGAGCTGAATGTCTATCCAACTGCACCTCCACTACGACTTGATCTCATTATTACATCTGACATCTCACAGCCTGAGGTGACTTAAAGGCTTGAAAAAATGACCTGAGCTTATGCATGGGTGTGCCTGCTCATAAGAAGACCCCTCTGCTTTTTTCCCACCGAATATGCCGTTAATGTTGCCATGTTTCAGGCATGCTGAAAGAATGTAATTGGATTCATAATAAGATTTTAAGCCCTTTCTTTGTTCCTTTTATTATCTAGCCAGCAAAGGGACATACAGTACCTGCATGGTAAATAGGAGGAGGCTGTTCTTCTGTAGAGAAGCTGCAGGGATTAGAGAGCCAATGTTATTCATTTGGATTTGTGTACAGTACAGCAGACCTATCTCTGGTTGCCATTCAGTGAAAGTAGGCCCTACACACAGCATTGCTCTGTTTTCTTTTACCAGTTTGAGCTTATGTGTTTCGCTCATTGGGCCTATTTCACATCACCTGTAGCCTGCAACTGACTAAGATCTCTGGATTGTCTAATGAACATATTCTCCAAGCAGAACAGTGAGGAGCATGAAGCCATTAAATGAAATGAGCTATAACCAGAAAGGCTTTACTGTTTGTACTGAAATGGCTCAGTTCTGAAACTGGTTGAGAGACTGAGATTCTCCTCCTCTCTACTCTGCTGCCTCCCACGTGGATAATAGTCTGGGAGGGGGTGGACGAGAGAATGGCCTGTTCTCTGGTATTCTCCACGCATGCACTGTGCTGCTGAGCAGTCAGAGGTTCTCTGAGGCCTGTTGTTTGCCTGTGGCGTTGTCACTCAGCCTGTGGCAGGGTTCCATAGAGTGTGGCTGGGTTCCATAGGTTCATATACTCACTTATGAGGAATTTAAGAATGGCCTTAATTGCCCTGACATTTAGAACGCTGGACTGCTATTGCTAGATGGAAGTTGAGAAGAGATAAGCCTACAGGTGCAAGACATCTTAAGAAGCAGATGTGAATACTAACTGTCTTAGGAGGGAGTTGTTATTCAGTCCTGTATTCTTCTCTAGAATGAATCAAATTTGACTTTGTTAATCAGGAGACCTCACCACAAATCGTTGGAATTTCAACATTGAACATTTTCAGTGGTCAAACGTAGAGGATTGTGAAAAGCAAATGTCAGAAGGTGTCTTTGTGGAGCCGGTGTTAACCAGGAAAGAAGCCTCCATGTGTACACTAAACAATGTACCCTTTGAAATTTAAAGGAATAATCCACTCAAATACAATCGTTTGGTATTTTTTTCATTAGTCCCAAAAATGTTGCAGTTCAGCAGTCAAGATTTCAATATATAGCACTTTCAAGCAGGCAGAAATACAGCCGGCATGACACCTTTTGCATCATACGATGCAAAAGGTGTGTTTCTGCCTTCGTGAACAGCAAGAGCTCAGATACACATGAAATTACCCCAGGAATTGATAGAACATTGTTCAGAGATGCCAAAATATATAACATTCAAAATGGGTGAATCTTTCCTTTTTAAGTCTGGCATCTCAAAATATGTCTGGTCTATTTCAAAACACATAATTTCACCTTATGGACTACGCTAAGTATTTTAATTCTACAATTAACCATATTCTCCCACTGCCCTACGTATTTCCCCACACTTCTATAAAGTATCATTGCACTGATATGCGCAGGATCAATACATCAAAACACAAGCCCTGTTCTCACTTTCCCAGCTAGTGTCGCACTGTTGGCATCACCACTTTCATTCTCAGCTTGCTCCGCAAACGCACTTCACTTCTCTCTCCAAGCTGACACCTTTTGTAATGTGATATGACTTAGTGAGCAAGGCATACAGTCTCTCCAATTACCATCAGAGAGACAGATAATTGGAGTAAAATGGAGGCCAAAAGTTTATTTATTCATCCGAAATTGGTAGTTTCATGCAAGACGTGCATCTAATAGGCTACACATGATAGGGTTCATGGTATTGCACAATAAGCATATTCAGATGCCTAATGGTGCATTAGAAGCCCCTGGTTGTCCTCCTCACCTCAACTGTCCAATGGGAACCTCCGCATTTATCAAATGTACATGCCTCTGACTTTCCAGTCACTGTTTGTTCAGTCATCGCTGTTATTTGTGAAGCATGTGTCTTTGAGAGATATGGGAGTTTAGATGATTCCTTAAGATTCCTAAAAGGTTCCTTGGTGGCTGCACTGTATGTACCACCATAGTCTCCGTTCAAGGCAATGATGGCATAATGGGTGGACTGACAGCCATTTTGAGTGTACCCATGCCAGGAAGTAAAAGCAGGAAGTGTACCCTTCAGTCTGTGCTGTGATTTGTTGAGTCAACTCAACTGACATTACAAAAAATATAGTCCATTGCATGAGCCACATCAGTTAGTATCTACATTACCATGGCAATCCAGCATAATCCCAGTCGGTATTAGAACGTCTCGGCCCTGCCCACCTGTGGGGAAAACAATCTGTGGTTACCTAGCTTACCCCATTGGCTTACAGCAAAAACTAGACTTTTTTTCAAACTGAATTTTCTTGTCTGCTTGTTTTAGTCAATTACAAAACTACATTTTAGAAAATTACAACATGTCTAAAGATTATTTTTCAACATTGCCTGCTCCCGAGCGTTCTCACTACTTAGAAAAACGTAATATTGTAGGGCTTCCCTCATGCCCCTTTTCATGACTGTGCTAGGAGCCACATGAGTGAGTGCTAGCTAGCTACTGACCGGTACATAGCTAGCCAAGACCATCAACACGAACAAACGGACTATGCAGTGGAGTTACAAACAGACTATACTAAACAAGTTAAATGTCTTACCTGTGATTAAATGTTTTCCCACACACGTAGCTACACTGGGTCCCCACATTTCCCACTCTCCCGCGCTGAGTAGCCTGAAGCCACAGGGCTCTTCTTGCCAGCTCTATCCCTATGTAGGAATATTGCGATTTTCTTACCTGGTTACATGTACATTGAACAACACAGCAGCTTTTTGGCACGTTTTGTTATTTCTGTATAACAAAAAAACGACGACGAAGTTGGCTCTTTTACAATGGGGTTCAATGGGACATTTATTTTGTTTTCCCCGATTTTGTGGACGTAGTAGAGGGGAATTGATAGAAATGATTGCATTTCAATACCAGGAAGCCATTGTGAGTGTACCCACGTGTTTGCCAGTCAAATTAGCAGGGTTAGAGCTTCCAAGCCCGTTCTATTCATTCTATTTCTGTGGTGCCACCTCACATCTGTTTTGAAATAAGTAGTTTACCCAACCTTCTAATAAACTTTTTTTTTTTTTTTCTTTTCTTTTTTTTTTTTTAGGTAAAAACCTCTACACCAACGAGTATGTTGCAATAAAATTGGTAAGTATGTAGTCTTATTTCTGTATCTTTCCCATATGAGATTGTATTATTTCAATGAGCAGCTCTTAAAATCACACCTGGAGTGAACATTGCCTATTTACATATTATTTTATTTTGAAGAAATACGCATTTGTAAACCTGAATTTGAAAGTTGTTTGTTGAATGATAATTAATTTGAATAATGTACCTATTTAGGTGTACTTATAATAATAATAATAATAATAATAATAATATGCCATTTAGCAGACGCTTTTATCCAAAGCGACTTACAGTCATGCGTGCATACATTTTTTTGTGTATGGGTGGTCCCGGGGATCGAACCCACTACCTTGGCGTTACAAGCGCCGTGCTCTACCAGCTGAGCTACAGAGGACCACCCATACTTCTTATTGTTGAAGTGTAGTGAATGAAAAGGCCTCCTTCAACTGAATTGTTTCCTTTTGTATTCCCGCTCCAGGAACCAATAAAGTCAAGGGCACCACAGCTGCATTTGGAGTACCGGTTTTACAAAACATTAGGTTGCACGGGTAAGACCTTCACTCTGTTAACCACCCATTTATCTCCATCCTCTCTCTTCCTCGGCTCACTAATCATTCCTACTGACTTGAGGTCACCTCAGATTGGTGAGGTTCTGTATGAAGAAAGACTGTGCCCGTTCTTAACTGTCACACAAAAGAAGAATTAACAAGCCCTGCTGTTATATCAATTTCACTGTGCCTCCATGTATTTGTATTTATTATGGATCCCCATTAGCTGCTGCCAAGACACATTGCCATGGTGTCTCCCTGAATATTATCTTTTTATAAGTCTGATGTGGTGATGGTGATCACTTTACTATTGTTCTCAACAGTAGTCCAGTTCTATATGGGATGACTGCTTTCTGTGTGAAACCCCCCACCCCCCATTCACTGAAGACAATCACAGGAAGTGCAGTCTTTTCACAGTTACACAGCTGTTGTGACACAGCTTCCAGTGTTACCTTTGCATGGGAGTCATTGACAGGACCAGTGTTTAGACAGAGATAGTGTCACTGTCAGCGTTGGTGGAAGGCAGATGTAAATCTCAAATATAAGGTGTTGCATAGGTGTGTTGTGGCCATTCCTCTTGGGTAGCGTAGGCCAAGCAAGTATCATCAATCAATTAACTGATAAATCCATCAATGGGTACATCAGAGTTGTATCAGTCACATTTCTAGTACAAAGTCAGGGTCGAAACAAAAGTTAGCTAAGCAGACAGAGAATAGAAAATTCCTATGCGCAATATGTAGAAATCGCTCAGCCATTACCTGGTTGCTAAAATTCTATCACGTTCGCCTAATTTCAGTTTGTGACCAAACAAGATAATCATTGTACAATCTAAACCGCTGTGAAATAGCTTTGCAATAACCAAAAATATAGTTTGAAGCTAGTGTACCAAACCGAAAGTAAAAAGACACAAAAGCTAAACTTCACGACGGGAAGCATAGAAATAACACACACAGGATGGATCTAACGCTTATCAGACTTTATTTCAATGAGAATGACAGATCTATAATTCAAATTGTATGTGAATTTGGTCGGGTCACCCACAAAGCTACATAATACTGAACCTTTAATTATATTAAATAACCAATGATGCAATGCCATCTAGCATACAACATCATTGCGGCAAAAAGATGTGTGCATTTATTGTTAACATGTAGCCTATGCTATTATCCTTATCTGGCCCCTTGAATCATATCTGAAACCAGCCCCCTTGACAAAGGAGTTCTGCACCCCTGTAGTAGAGTAATGATGAGTCCCTTGGCAGTGTCAAGCACCTCACTCTTGAGGAGTTGGAAAATGGCTGCCTCTGCTAGTTTAATAGCAGAAGTGGTAAAGGTGCCTTGGGTCGTGCCTGAGGCTGCACTGCCTCACAGGCTGATGTTTTTACAACTTCACCCATTCTTTCCCATCAGCCAACCAAATTCAAATTGCAAACAGAGGGACCGCAAGAACCCTTTCATGCGGTGGTGCCTAAGTGATGCAGCTGAAAAAAGGTAAGCAACATTGCATCCAAAAACACTGAAATATCTAGACTATTTCCAAATACTATTTCCAATTGATATATATTGATATAGATTAGCTAGCAGCTTTACTGGTTAGTTATATTTTCAAATGATCTAGCTTAGCTAACTAGCTTCATGTGGTTGGCTGTTTGTCTACATAATGCAGCAAGTACAGTTACAACTGTTACAAACTGCTTAGCTACCTATTTTCTCTGAAGCAATTAGCTCATCGCAAGCTGTAACTTAGCTGGCTGGTAAGCTATATTTTTGCATCTAATTAACACAATGCAGGCTCCTCCCAGTCTGGTCAGTCTACTTAGAGGCATTAAAGGCTGGTGGGGCTCAAAGCTAGCAGTTTCACTCGCAGCCTCCAAGACTGGTCTATGTGCAAGGCTCCTCAGAGGCTGATCAGAGTAAGTAGGGATAATAATATGCCATTTAGCAGACGCTTTTATCCAAAGCGACTTACAGTCATGTGTGCATACATTTTTACGTATGGGTGGTCCCGGGGATCGAACCCACTACCCTGGCGTTACAAGCGCCATGCTCTACCAATTGAGCTACAGAGGACCATAATAAAGGTTCCTCCCAGGCTGGTCAGTGTAAATAGGGGGCTCGGAGGCTTCTCTATAATAGGCTCCTTGCAGGCTAGTCAAGAGTCCTTGCAGGCTGAGTAAATAGAGGCCTTACAAGCTGGTCTATACGTAAATTATTTTGTAAAACAATCAAACTACTAATTTCTCAATGTGAGATATAATTTAAAAAGACACTGAAATAGGAACATATTTTTAAAACTAGTTTTGTGATTTTAATACTTGTCAAACACTTACTGCATATTAAGCTCTATTTATGCAGTGTGCATAGGCATAAATTGCAGCACTGAAAGTTAAGACTTTGATAGTTTAATTTCATGTCCTTTTACATTGAATTTAAGTGTGATGTTTCAATAATGCTTCCTTTTGTTTTTCAGGTAAGGTAAAGAAGAATAAGATGACTAAAAGGTAAAGGAGAAGAAGAGGGCTAAAAGTAAAGGGTTCTTTAGAGGTTAAAGGGTTTTGTTACAGTGGGGAGAACAAGTATTTGATACACTGCCGATTTTGCAGGTTTTCCTACTTACAAAGCATGTAGAGGTCTGTAATTTTATCATAGGTACACTTTAACTGTGAGAGACGGAATCTAAAACAAAAATCCAGAAAATCACAGTCTCCTGAGTGGCGCAGTGGTCTAAGGCACTGCATCGCAGTGCTAGCTGTGCCACTAGAGATCCTGGTTTGAATCCAGGCTCTGTCGTAGCTGGCCGTGACCGGGAGACCCATGGGGCGGCACACAATTGGCCCAGCGTCGTCCAGGGTAGGGGAGGGAATGGCCAGCAGGGATGTAGCTCAGTTGGTAGAGCATGGCGTTTGCAACGCCAGGGTTGTGGGTTCGATTCCCACGGGGGGCCAGTATGAAAAATAAAATAATTTATGCACTCACTAACTGTAAGTCGCTCTGGATAAGAGCGTCTGCTAAATGACGTAAATGTAAATGTATGATTTTTAAGCAATTAATTAGCATTTTATTGCATGACATAAGTATTTGATACATCAGAAAAGCAGAACTTTATATTTGGTACAGAAACCTTTGTTTGCAATTACAGAGATCATACGGTTCCTGTAGGTCTTGACCAGGTTTGCACACACTGCAGGGATTTTGGCCCACTCCTCCATACAGACCTTCTCCAGATCCTTCAGGTTTCGGGGCTGTCGCTGGGCAATACGGACTTTCAGCTCCCTCCAAAGATTTTCTATTGGGTTTAGGTCTGGAGACTGGCTAGGCCACTCCAGGACCTTGAGATGCTTCTTACGGAGCCACTCCTTAGTTGCCCTGGCTGTGTGTTTCGGGTCGTTGTCATGCTGGAAGACCCAGCCACGACCCATCTTCAATGCTCTTACTGAGGGAAGGAGGTTGTTGGCCAAGATCTCGCGATACATGGCCCCATCCATCCTCCCCTCAATACGGTGCAGTCGTCCTGTCCCCTTTGCAGAAAAGCATCCCCAAAGAATGATGTTTCCACCTCCATGCTTCACGGTTGGGATGATGTTCTTGGGGTTGTACTCATCCTTCTTCTTCCTCCAAACACGGCGAGTGGAGTTTAGACCAAAAAGCTCTATTTTTGTCTCATCAGACCACATAACCTTCTCCCATTCCTCCTCTGGATCATCCAGATGGTCATTGGCAAACTTCAGACTGGCCTGGACATGCGCTGGCTTGAGCAGGGGGACCTTGCGTGCGCTGCAAGATTTTAATCCATGACGGCGTAGTGTGTTACTAATGGTTTTCTTTGAGACTGTGGTCCCAGCTCTCTTCAGGTCATTGACCAGGTCCTGCCGTGTAGTTCTGGGCTGATCCCTCACCTTCCTCATGATCATTGATGCCCCACGAGGTGAGATCTTGCATGGAGCCCCAGACCGAGGGTGATTGACCGTCATCTTGAACTTCTTCCATTTTCTAATAATTGCGCCAACAGTTGTTGCCTTCTCACCAAGCTGCTTGCCTATTGTCCTGTAGCCCATCCCAGCCTTGTGCAGGTCTACAATTTTATCCCTGATGTCCTTACACAGCTCTCTGGTCTTGGCCATTGTGGAGAGGTTGGAGTCTGTTTGATTGAGTGTGTGGACAGGTGTCTTTTATACAGGTAACGAGTTCAAACAGGTGCAGTTAATACAGGTAATGAGTGGAGAACAGGAGGGCTTCTTAAAGAAAAACTAACAGGTCTGTGAGAGCCGGAATTCTTACTGGTTGGTAGGTGATCAAATACTTATGTCATGCAATAAAATGCAAATTAATTACTTAAAAATCATACAATGTGATTTTCTGGATTTTTGTTTTAGATTTCGTCTCTCACAGTTGAAGTGTACCTATGATAAAAATTACAGACCTCTACATGTTTTGTAAGTAGGAAAACCTGCGAAATCGGCAGTGTATCAAATATTTGTTCTCCCCACTGTATATCTGTATTGCCTCTCATAAGTTTGTTGGTTATGTTATATTGAAGAGTTTATTTCCAAAATGCTATATCCACCAATTTTTCACATTTGTGTTTTTTCATCAGAAATAATTGCCTATGGGTACTTTTATGTGTGTGTAAAATGTTACTGTTCTCAGATTTTTATTAATAGATTTTAGATGTGTATGAAAAATTGTTTTTTTTGCAAACCATTATATATCCATTGTTTAGCTGGAAAGGAATATCCGTATTCTGCATATTTGACGGTGATATGTGGTTGCCTCACCGAGCTATTTTAAGATTAATACACTTACTGTATGCCACTCTGATAAATGACTAAAATGTCAAATGTAAATGTTTTACATACAGATCTCATATTACTGTATTGACTTTATTTCAAAAATAATATTGACGTCACAAATGTATAATTTGAACAGTTTATTAAAAATGTAGTTATTTGTTACAATTGACTGTGTAAAACCTAGCAGTACTACTTATTTATCTGTGAGTGAGGTGGATATATAGCATTTTGCAAAAAAAACATTATATTTTGTCTCTCTGGAATGAAATCATCAAGTGATAGAAGATATAGAAGAGGTCAAACTCTTCATATGTTCAGGGGGGTTCCCAACAAAAGTAGTCCATCTTTGTTTGTGTTTATTTACAGTATATTGCAATATGTACTGAAATTGTAGTTCATTTTCTAAATGTATTTGTGAAATAAAAATGGATATACATTTCTATCAACCGTCAGACTCCAATTGTATTTTCTCAATGTTTTTATTTTATTATATTTATAGTCTGTGCACCAGGGTTTGTGCCAATTCCAATTGAATTTTAAATGTAAATTAAAGAATT